AACTTCTCATTTTTGAGACAAATAATGAATTGTTTTTCTTTTTTACAGTATAAAAAAAGAAGATATTTAAGAAAAATACTATTTCATTTATTCATAATTAGTAGGTTTCTACTACATATAAAATTATAGACATTATTTAGTTTTTTAAAATATTTTTTAACTATAGACTATTAGTGGTATAAAGTTGAAAATGTCAGAAAAATTCTTTCAAGAGTTCAAATAAGAGATGAAGAAAAGTCGACATATTTTTCACGGTCTATATAAGAAAACTATTGGTTTATTATAACTCACTTTTAATAATACTCTAGAGAACTTTTTCACTTAACAGGTATTTAATATATGTTGTTGGACGACGACTATCGAATTATTTTACTTACTGTTGATAGTTCTATAGATCTTGCTCAAATGGAGAAAATTCAATATATTTTTTGGGTAAAAAATGAACACTTACTGTATAAAAAATTTTTTTTATTTATTATTAGTATATGCTTGTTCTACTTGTACGTTTTTAATTAATATAAAATGTTTTTATTCTTTTGTTTTTTCTTCTACATAACAACATTGATACTATTTATCAATGATTCGAGAAAAAAAAAAATTATTTGTCTATTTCCTAAAAATGTTGTCATTTTTTTATTTGTGACATAAATAGGTGAATTCGAGTTGCAGATTTCTACTAACAGTAATAAGATCGTCTATTTTAACGGATAAGTTAGTTATTCTTAGTGTCTGTATTATGTAACTATTAAGACTTCCGTTATTTCAAAATCTGTGATTCGTACACTATTGACCATATTTCTTTTTCCCATTGATATATAGATATATATATATATTTCCTTTTTTGTGTAACTGCTGTTTAATAAATTTGTTTTAGTTTCCTCTTCTTTTACATATATTTCTATTCAAATATACATTAAAAGATCATTATATAAGTATTATATTATTAATGGGTAACAATCAATCATTTTGTATGTGCACCAATATTTATTATTTCATTGAGACAGTTGTTAAGCCTTCTTATTTCTTATCGTACATAACAGTCAAACTTTAGTGTCAGAATAAAAAGGGAAGATGGTTAGTTTTGTGATTATGCAATATTGGCTAAAAGAGGAAGATATTTTATATAAATCTACAAGAGTTTTGTAAAATAACGTCTAAAATCTTGAAAATTATTTTGATAGTATTTTTCTTAAATATCTTCTTTTTTTATACTGTAAAAAAGAAAAACAATTCATTATTTGTCTCAAAAATGAGAAGTTAGTTTTGATAAATGAGATCTTGAACTTTTAAATAATTTATTATCAAATTGTCAGTTTTTTGAAAGATGGAAAAACTGAAAATCAATTTCCCATATGGAACAAATGGTGAATTTATTTTTCTTTGATTTTTGAGTTCTCTAAAAGTTTGCAGAACACATTTTTTTAACCATTGTGTAGAAGGTAAGATTGACTCTTGTCCTTGTTCACTATTAGCTTGCTAATATTATTTATATCTAATTTCTTAATAAAAGCAAGAGTTCTTACTCATAGAGAAAAATCTAACATCGTTACATTCTTTTCGTTTGACAATACGAATTATGACATTGTATATGTTAAAACAATGGAAGTTTTTTCCTTCTTTTGTATGTATGTATGTATAGTCTTTATAATAATTATCTTATTTACACTCTGACACAGCATATATATTTAGGAATGTTATTAACGAAAAAGTTCAACATATTAGGTGTTTGCCAATTGAGATAACACCAACAAGTAGCAATTTTCGATAATAACATTAATGTTATACTTCTTTTACCATTGAGTTTATAATAGAATGACTGTGACTTACTATAAAAATAATGATAATATAAGAAAAATTTAGTACCGTTGATACCATCATATATTTGTAAAATTTTTGTTAAGTGAATGTCATTTTAAATTAATGTAAACCACATAACTTGTTAAAAGAAGAAGATGAGAATTTTTTTGTTTGATTCTCAGTGACACTTCACATGATGTAGGAGTACACTTATATAGAATGTTCAAATAAGTATAGATGAAATGTCATTATAATCAATAATTGAACAAACTCTCATTTATTTGTTTGTATTATACATGACGTTATTTCGTTTCTGTTTTTGTACAAACAATTATTTTTCACGTAATAATCAAAAGAATATATAGTAGATTTGATTGAATAAGAAAAAACATATGGATAATATTCGAGGACATAGTAAATTGATATCACACAAAGAGAGAAAACGAGACTATACATGTCCAAGGACAATAGACTATAACTAATGATAATAGTAATAAAATAATTCAGATTTTCTACAATATATATATATATATAATGTGACCTTAACATACTAGAAGATATTTCATTCTGGATAATAACACTACAACAATACTAGAGAAAATTTATGATGAGTTAAGCGTATTAATTACAATGAAAATATTTGTTATATGATAACAAAATCAAAAGATGTATCTTTCAATTATAATACAAGTTAAATAGGAAAAGAGAATTAATGGTACTATTCTCCTTTCACATATGCTGTCATAGTTTGCCACTAATTGCAATCAATAATACTATAATATTTATTTTTTTCTAAAGATAATAGTATACGCTGATTTGAGAAGTGTAGTACAAAAAGAAATATAATAGTTTTCGTTGACTTTTTAATCAATACTGTTCGATTTATGTGATAATATGATTTATAGACAGAAAAATGTGCTAATGAAAAAATTTATGATCTTATTTTTAGACACGTTTTTGTATAAGAAAAACGTTTATTCTGATTTTTTTCAGAACAATATCGAACAAAATCATAATATTTCTGAAGAATGCAATCAAAATCAAAATACTCAAAGAATTGTTTGCGTGAGAAATACCGTAATACGTAGTGAATAACAATATGGCAAATTCTATTTAAAAGAAGAAGAAAAATGATCCAGTCACTGGAACAGAGTGTTGACAAGTCCGACTTCTTAGTTTTCAGTATAGCCTGACATCTTCGCCACAATTTTGTTTAAAGTTATAATTGTCTTGCATGAATGGACGCAATAATTTGGTCACTTTGGTGTATTGGGATAACCTTCAAAGATGGCCGCCTATCTCTTTACGAGCCATTAATTACAGCTCTGAAAGGAAAACTAATATGACGAAGAGTGAGGCTGTTGGGGCTACTTGCAACTTGTCAACAAATAAGCACGGGAGGGAAAGGATATTACACATTGATCCAACGTTTTTTCCGCTCTCATAGCTAAAGAAATTACTGCCTCTCAGATGAAATGTGAATTTTGAGTTTTGTAAAAATTGTAATCAAAATGAACCTTTTTAACGATTGACGAGACGTTTTCATAACCTTTGTATAACGGGAATGAAATATTTTTTACTTGATTTTAATATTCAACATCATAGAAGTTAAGGATGTACAGTAACCAGTCAACAAAAGATGATGTTATCTTCGCTTGGATAATCTTGTTGTTTCACTGCACTAAATTGTACTTACGGATTTGGAAGCACTAAGTTAGGGGACACGAGTACTACTCCTAAATTTCTTGAAATTTCCTGCACAGTAGTAATCATTATATTAATTGCTACAATTGTTGTGAGAGAGAGTTCCAAAAATATAATCTTTTTTATCTTGTCTCACAACATTCGAACGTTCACATGCTCCAGATAATTCTGGAGCAACATTAATGTGCCCGACCGGTGGTCGTTACTTTTATCGAGGAGAGATAAGGCCTATTACATACTTTTGGTAGCACTAAACGGAGTACAGAGTCAGATTTCACCGACTTTCAGTTGTATAGAGTGGGGCTGAGTTTATATTGCAAAAAATACGTAGGCCGTCTATGTACTCAACTTTACCATCGTGTCACACAACTGAACAGTTCACACGTAAGACTGTGAAATGTTATCCATGTTAAACAATAATACGGTCTTGGGTATAAAAAAGTTTGCTTACCGTAGCTAATTGAAATAAATTCCATATGCAATCTTCTACCACGAATTTGTTAAGATATAACAGTAAAAAAAATGGAACATATATTATGTACGTTGCCAATGACAATGAAAAAGAAAAAAAACATGTTTGGATAATGATCGACATGTAATGAAAACGGTAAAATGACTTCTTTTTAATTTGAAAAGATTCTTGAGTCCTGTATGCATTAAAACGTGCCTTAGTTACTGATGAATAAATACTTTTTGAACTAAAGCTAATTTAGCGTCACATCTATTAATTGTCGATATGTTATAATTATAGAAAGAAAAATGAGAAAGAACGAAACGCCTCTTGGATTAGAATTATTTAAATAAATAAAGTAGGATGATAATTGTTGTTTAACTGTACTTGTTAAACCGGTATTTATACACAATGGTAATGTTGTTGTTGGACCCGTGGCTCCAGAACCACAATTCTGTACAAAACCGTAGACAATCGCTGTTCTGTTTAATAAACGATTTTGTGCTGTCTCTGAACGACGATTCGAATTTATACTTGGTTGTAAACCTAATAGGGTAAAAAAAGTTACAAATATTGCTAAGAGCAATAGTGTGAGAAATATAAGTGTCCACAGCGGACATCCATAAAACCATTCACAACAGCCACATGATCGATTGGATAACTCCCATCGACCTTTACACCAGTTACAACAATAATAGTGACGATATTTATAATCACTTTTATACACTTTACGATGACCGTAATCTAAATCTGAACTATAGTAGCCACTGTGAGTTTTTGCTCGCTTTACACGATGAACTATTCGACGATGAGGTACTATGGTCGTCAACGGTTCTTGGATAATTTGCTGTTGAATGGGTTGAGTAATAATTGGCTGCGGGGCTACGTGTTGAACCAGGTGTGGTCGAGGTGTGAGTGATCGTGCACTTGTCAACGTACCTGAACTAGTGGTGTAAGTTGAATACGACGATGTTGTGCTTGCTGCAGAAAAACGTCGAACACGACGGCGACCACGTCCTTTTTTTATTCGTCGAGTTACTAATCCTGTGTGTCTTCTGTCAATATTATCTGTAACAACAGTCGTTACTGCTGGATTTGGAGCTGTGATTAATGTTTTCATCTCATCCACGGTTGTTAATGGGGCATTATTCGTTCTCAGAACTGTCTGATCGTTTACAGTTGGATTGGTATTTATGACGTTGGTGGTTTTCACAGTTTCTAGCGGTTCATTTGTAGTCAAATTTACTGTTGGCGGAATAAACTGATAACGAGGTTGTTGAGACATATGCCGAAATTGATACATATTTGGCCAAAAGCGGCCGGGTGGTGGTTGGTATGGTAAACGGTAAGGGGGATTATAATATGGACGTATTGGAACAGGAGGTGGGAGTACTTGACTAGTTGCAGTGACGGTGGAAACCGAAGGTGGCAGTACTTGACTAGTTGTAGTGACGGTGGAAACTAAAGGTGTTTGATCGACTTTAACAACAACTGGTGGAGTAGGAGGCACAATCTGACGTGACTGAGTTACTGTCACATTGGGAGAAGTTGGAGTGACAATATCGGATGTTTGAATAATTGTTGTTGCTGTGGGACTTTGTCGAGCTTTGGGTGAATGAATGTTAATCATTGTAGTTACTGGAGATTCAGCAGAACGAGATGTTATTCGATTACTATCTGAATAACCATTCTATGTCAAAAGCAATCATCATAAAACTTTTAAAAAGGAAAATTTTTCAACTGATACAAAACATACCGGAATTTTTTCTTTTTCTGTAGATATTATTGTTCTTGAATCATATGGATAAGCACTTGAACGTTTAGTCGTATCATATGTTCCCGGTCGATCTGGATCATTTTCATCTGAATAATACGTTATCCGTTTTGTTGATAATGGCTTTCGATTTGACGGAAACGATGAATCGCCTAAACGAGCAGAAGTGTTGCGTATTGTGGTTTCGGTCATTCGATGTTGACCAGGCCATTGCCCAGCTAAACTTGATATTGGCATTTCAAGATAATTGTTATGCTCGTCGTCTAAACTTAGTCGTTCAAATTCCGTTGATGTTGATGGTCTCAATGCGCGATTTCGTTTATAACGTTTATCTTCACGATATTGGGCTAACTGAAGACGTTGACATATTTCGCATAAACCAGATTCTGGATCGATAATATGTACCATCAAACGCAAGAATAATAATCATAGATTTAAGATCTCTTAGGAATACTAAAATACACAAAAGATGACTTTTTCATTACTCGTAAAAATCTTTCAACCATTGCCTTTGCATATCGTCACTAATCCAATATAAAAATGATCTTTTTTTTTATTTGCTGATTTTGAATCTATCTGAGCAATTTTTGAAAATCAAGTTCTGTACTCACTGTATAAGCACTAACTTTGTTATAAAGACTTTGGCTCATGGCACCTTATGAAAATTACACCATGTAACAATATAAAATACCCACGTTTATGACAGAGTGACAATGATGATTATATTTGATTCTTTTAAAAACGAACATTTTATTTTATTTTTAATGTAAAAGAAAAAAAATTTTCATCTCAGCAGGTAAGCTCGAAATTATTACATGTAGCGTCAATCTCAATCGTTAGATACGAATAGAGAAAACATACAAACAAAAAAATTAATTAAACTATGATATGTCTCAATACTATCTAGAAAAGCGAAAAAAAGTGTCGAAAGTATCTTACATGATAAAAGTACAGTGAGTTTATAAAATATTGAAAGAAAAAGACCGAAATATACTTCCTCACTTTTAAATTACGATGATTCAGCTTGTCTTACTTATGGAGGATTAAAGTTCACACTCGTAATTAACTGAATAGAAGCTATTTCCGAGCTCTGAACACGGTGAACATTCGGACAGATCATATGGGCAGTTGATTTTTTCTCATTAAGAACGATTATTTTTAGTTCAGTTTAATTACCTGTGCCTGGAAATGTCTATTACAACGAAAAGGAGATAGCTATGGGAAAACAATTTTTTCGGTTAAAACTGACTGCGGGGGCACTTGTCTAATTTCTTTTACTCTGAAGCTTTTTCTTACTCAATTTTTTACATTATAGATCATTCAATGCATTTAAGAGTTGATTCTGAATATGGCGTTTGTTTCTGAGTGAAAGTGCTTTTCTAAGACAAAAAACGAATTTTACCTAAAAAAACTAGCGTTTGAAAAATACCTCCTACACAGCCTGAGGATGTCGGTGCTAATATTACCAATGTAATAGACCATTGACATGATCCACCCAAATTTTGACAGGGATTGGAGTTTGGAAAACTTATTATACTGCATTGTCGTAGTAGTATTAGCGATTCAAAGAATAAACAGGTTTTTTCCTCAAAATCTCTGTAAGAAACCCTATCATTTTTTTTATGAATATAAAAATACCAGTCATACTTCCGAGCCTAGTGGCTATCAACTCTAACTGATTTAATATTAAGAGAGTTTAGACGCAAAGATTCATAACAAAATTTAAGTAAGTTTACTAGGGTATGCTGAATAATGTTAAAAAGAAACATATTAAATGATCAATATTAAAAATCAATTAAATATTTTTCTATCTGACCTAATAAATATTTTTCTTGTTGTAAAATAGAAAAGTACTTAATTATTTTTCAGAAAAAAACATTTTAAAGCTATCGATGACGTTATATTAAAGTAGTTTTTGGTCGGACAGAAAGATATTTAATTATTTTAAAATAAAAGAAAAATATTTAATTGGTATTTAATATTAGTCGTTTAATATTTTTCTTTTTAATATTAGTCCATAGACTCGTTTACTAGTGTAGCTGTTGTAAATTTTATTTTATTTCATCATAAATAAAATGAAATTTGCAACAGCTGCAAAGTTTGTTCTAACTGATTTTCTCCCAAATTCCAATTCTAACTTCTGACGATAAGGATTACGATTTTGATTAAAACTCTGGTCTTTAACGCGCATTCGTAGAATGCATGCTTTATTATGATCTGAATCGATCGTTTTATTTTAAGAAAAAATAATGAAGACATACTGCCCGGGTCGACGATCACGCCTAAGTTGCGACGCGATCGCGACCACTATAAACTCATGGCTGTCGCGTCACGATCGCTATAAAGTCACGTTATCACGTCGTGATCTTGGTAAACTCATGTTTTTTAGAAAAAATATTTTGTAGGAGTCCAATCGCGATTTCATAGTCACAGCGCGATCGCTATACACTCGCGATCTCGCGGCAGGACTCTAAATCTGCATCGATTCCATTCTTAAGAATTCAGCATAGTTTTTCTTAGCGCAATCACTCTCATATTGCTGTTTTGCGACACGGCTCACGTCACGGAATTTTATTGGTGGATATAGTTAGTACTTTTTGAACTGCAAGAACGGAAAAAAATTCTTTTTCTCTTATTTCAAAGTGAGAATTTAGTCTATATTTCGTATACAAATAGATAGTCCACATTCTATTTATAACATAAATAGTATATACTATGTACGAATACGCGTTCTCTGAAAGTTCGAGCGTGAATGTCTTCTTTACATACGGCAAACGTTACCTTATTGGTAAGGCTCACATTA